TGAGCCACCAGCCTCACAGGGACAGAAAGCAGAGATTTCTACTTAAACCTTTCTCTCATGTGCTCATACAACTGCTTCTGGAGACCATCCCACAAAGGGACAGCTACACGTACTTGCTTAAATGGCCCTACCACTCCACCACACACACACATACATACATTCACACACACACACTCACACTCATACACAATGGTATAGTAACCACTGTGACTACAGTGTAACTCCATGTAACTCCCTTCACACGGTTACAAACCATAGCTGCCCCTGAGTTCCTAATGAAATTCCTGGAAGTGCTTACCTTATCATGTAGTTATCTCTAGATGATAAACCTTGCCACGTTTTGATCGACACAGTGTCTACTTGTTAAGTATTTTTCTTAGCAAACAAACCTCTCTGCCAGCGCAAACAATTCCAATCCGACCAAATGCAACCAAATTAGAAGACACCCAGGTTTAATGGATGGCAACACTCCCGGGTGCCCCCCCCCCCCCGAAAACACAGAGAGGGAAACAGAGAACCAAAAGACCATGGAAAACCAGGAAACCACACGTTCAGTCTCTAGGGGGCAGTCCCTGTGGGAGCGGTCTTGACCCTCCCTGGGGAGGGGAGTCACCGTTTGAAGGGTTTCTCAGAGGTGGAATTTGGACTGAGGCAACTTTCAGGTGAGGGAGCTTTAAAATGGAACTTTCCACCCAACATTTCAAGATGAATGCCAGGGGGCTGGGGTGAAGCCCCCCAAATAAACAATCCAGATTCTTTGTATAAAGGGGTGCCAGGGAGCTGAGGCGATGCTTCCGATCAAACACTCCAGACTCTCTTTGGATAAAGGGGCGCCAGCTAATGTTTTACCCACTGCCTCTTTCAAAAACTACATCTTCGATGGCTCAGGAGTTAAGAGCGCTGGTTGCTCCGATAGATAGATAGATAGATAGATAGATAGATAGATAGATAGATAGATAGATAGATAGATAGATAGATAGATAGATAGATAGATAGGTAGATAGATAGATTAGCGAGGGAGAGCAGCCAAATCTCCCAGACAGCCCAGTTTCCACCGGGCGATAAAGACATTCTCACTACTTTAATCCCGATACAAAAAAATAATCCGACATAGTTAGTAGCCAGTTGCTTTTCTATTGCTTTGTTATATTAATCCCTGTAAGGAAATAGCTAAAATGATCGCTTGACTTTGGTGGGGGTAGGCTACTGTTTTTCCTTGTTTGTTTTGTAGCCAAGGATGGCTTTGAACTCTGATTCTCCAGCCTTTACCCCACCATGGCTAGGATTACAGGCATGGACCACCATGCCAGGATCAAGCTCTGGAAAACCATCCTTCCTGCTTCCTCTGTAGAAAATTTACTACATTTTATGGGATAACATGTTATCTGATTCTGGAATCAAAAATAAAGCCAAACAGTATCTTTTAACTAACAGGTTAGAATTTTTCCCTTTAACAATCGGTTCTGTCTAATCAGACTCCAGGGACAGCGTGGATAGGATGGGGGTTAATTCCACCTTTCAATAGCCCAAACTGAAGTTTAACCTGTGGAAGAACATGGAAGTCATCAGAGTCACTTACGTAATTTAAAAAAGATTTATATATCTTATGTATATGATTATTCTGTCTGCATGTATGCCTGCAGATCCCATTATATAGATGGTTGTGAGTTGCCATGTGATTGCTGGAAATTTAACTCAGGACCTCTGTAATAGCAGACAGTGCTCTTAACCTCTGAGTCGTCTCTCCAGCCCCATATAAGTAACTCTTTCAGTAAATTTTTTAAAAAAATAAAAATTAGGACTCCGTAACCGGCAGCCTGCGCCTATAGCCGGCCTTGACCCAGAGATCCAAACCGCGAGCGCCACGTCCATAGGCGGCCCCCCTCATCTGGGCATGCACGGACACGGAGGGGACTGAGGAGCAGAGCCTGGACGAAGCCTTTGCCCAGGCAAGAAAGAGAAGGAGCGGGCAAGTCTGGCGGCGAGCAGCGCTCCATCTCCGGTGCCAGGTCTGGCGAAGGTGGAACCCAGAGGACAGGTTGACCAGACAACAAGGCCGCAAGGAAGGATGAAGATGAGTGGAAAGAATTTGAGCAAAAAGAGGCCGAGCACAGCAGACTAAGAGTTCGGGCAATGCAAATAAGTGAAAAGGAAGAGGGTGATAATGAAAAGAGATAAGAATGGGAAGATGGAGGTGGCAGGGAGTAGAAAAATCTTCGGGTCCCTGGAATAAAACAGCTCCTGCACAAGCGCTCCTGCTCCAGTAATAGCTACAGAATCCTTGGAGCCGGCAATGCCTACAGGTGTATATAGGCCTCCTGGGACCAGGCTAACCACAGTAAGGAAACGCCACAAGGACTATCAGAAATATTCGGCGACGCACAGTTCCCAACCCTGCAGTCCCACAGAGTGCCAGAACAGGGACTGGAAATGAATGCGACCTGAAGTTAAATGACCACATAGGACACATGTACACTTTATTTAGGGAGATGAATTTTCAGGAGTAATTAAAATGGGAAGACATGTAAATGGTATCAGATGGGAAATTTGGGGGGGGGGGCTTTAAAGTAAACCCCAGCCTTTCACCTCATTGAGAGCACAGCTGGCTGAATTTAGACTTCCAATCAGACAGGCTTCTCCGCTCTGTCCTCGAATGTGTGGGGGACTCCGAGAGGGCACTGACTTGCCACACACATCACTCTTTACCTGATCTAATCAGACCACTCCCCCAAAGCAAAAGGGAGGAGAAATAGCTGAATGATATAAATTTGTGTCTGGAATATTTTGGTGACTTCAATATGATCTGTATTGGATCCCTCATGTTTTGCTTTGGCCTCAGTTGTTTTGATAAAGCGGTCAGGGCTGTTGTTACAAAGAAAACAATAATCCTAGCTCTAAGGAAATAGAAGCAAGAGGATCAGGAATTCAATCAAGGCCAGTCTGGGCTACAGGAAAAGGACTGGTGGGGGTGGGGGGAAAGGGGCGGAGGATAGAGAAAGGAAAAGAGAAAAAGCAAAGAAGAAAGGGAACATGAAATAAAGCAAATAAAGCATTGTTTAATGTTTCCTTCCTGGTAATTTGAACCCAGAGCCTTTAGAATGCTTACCATATGCTCTACCATTAATCTACACTCCAAACCCCACTGCCTAATTAAAAAATAGAAAACCTGAAGACAGAAAGGCAACCCACTGACTGGGAGAAGATCTTCACCAACCCCACAACTGACAAAGGTCTGATCTCCAAAATATATAAAGAACTCAAGAAACTAGACCGTAAAAGGCTAATCAACCCAATTATAAAATGGGGCACTGAGTTGAACAGAGATCTCTCAACAGAAGAAGTTCAAATGGCCAAAAGACACCTAAGGTCATGCTCAATTTCCTTAGCGATCAGGGAAATGCAAATCAAGACAACTTTAAGATACCATCTTACACCTGTCAGAATGGCGAAAATCAAAAACACCAATGATAGCCTTTGCTGGAGAGGTTGTGAAGAAAAGGGTACACTCATCCATTGCTGGTGGGAATGCAAACTTGTGCAACCACTTTGGAAAGCAGTGTGGAGGTTTCTCAGGAAATTCGGGATCAACCTACCCATGGACCCAGCAATACCACTCTTGGGAATATACCCAAGAGAGGCCTTATCACACAACAAAAGTATATGCTCTACTATGTTTATAGCAGCATTGTTTGTAATAGCCAGAACCTGGAAACAACCTAGATGCCCTTCAATTGAAGAATGGATGAAGAAAGTATGGAATATATACATATTAGAGTACTACTCAGCAGTAAAAAACAAGGACTTCTTGAAGTTTGCAGGCAAATGGATGGAAATAGAAAACACCATCCTGAGTGAGGTAAGCCAGACCCAAAAAGAGGAACATGGGATGTTCTCACTCATATTTGGTTTCTAGCCATAAATAAAGGACATTGAACCTATAATTAGGGTTCTTAGAGAAGCTAAATAAGAAGGAAAACCCAAAGAAAATCATATAGGCATCCTCCTGAATATTAAACTTCATCAGGCGATGAAAGGAGACAGAGACAGAGACCCACATTGGAGCACCGGTCTGAAATCTCAAGGTCCAAATCAGGAGCAGAAGGAGAGAGAGCACAAGCAAGGAACTCAGGACCGCGAGGGGTGCACCCATACACTGAGACAATGGGGATGTTCTATCAGGAACTCACCAAGGCCAGCTGGCCTGGGTCTGAAAAAGCCTGGGTCAAAACTGGTCTCGCTGAACATAGCGGACAAGGAGGACTACTGAGACCTCAAGAACAATGGCAACGGGTTTTTGATTCTACTGGACCTATTGGTTTCGTGGGAGCCTAGGCAGTTTCGTGGATGCTCACCTTACTAGACCTGGATGGAGGTGGGTGGTCCTTGGACTTCCCACCGGGCAGAGAACCCTGATTGCTTTTTGGGCTGACGAGGGAGGGGAACTTGGCTGGGGGAGGGGGAGGGAAAGGGGAGGCGGCGGTGGGGAAGAGACAGAAATCTTTAATTAATAAATAAATAAATAAAATAGAAAACCTGGTGCTGAAGATGTGGCTTAGTAGTCAAGGGCATGTATTACTCTCGCAGGATCCATTCTCAACACCCACATGGTAATCCCCAACCATCCATCCTAACTCCAGTTCCAGGGTATCCATCCAATGCCCTTTTCTGAGACAAGGCACACATGGGATGCACATGCATGCAAGCAGACAAAACACCCATACATAAAATAAGCCTTCTGATTTCCTTTTTTAAATTTATTTTATATGCCAACCAGTTTCCCCTTCCTTCTCTCCTTCCGTTCTCTCCCCACCTCCCTTTTGCCCCCCTTTTGATTTTTTTTAAAGAGAAAGTATCTCTTTAAACATAAAAATAGTTTTTCTGCCCATTATTTATTTTGAGAAATGTCTTGCTATGTAGCTCAGATTACCACCCTTGAACTCTCCTTGCTCCGGCCCCAGCATGCTAAGTGACAAAATTATAGGCTTGGCCACCACACCTACCTCTCCGGTGCAACTCTGAACCGCTGCTTCCCTGCTCGGGGCTTCAAGGAATTCTGTAACTGACAACATGACGTTTGGTTTTTATTTCATTTATTTCATTGTGTGTGCGTGCATACATGTGTGCACATGCAGGGACCACAGCGCATGTGTGGAAGTCAGAAGATAAGATACTGGAATTAGTTTTCTCCTTCCGCTAAGTGAATCTGGGTGACTGATTAAGGTGGTCAGGCTTGGCCGCAAGCCCCTTTACCCACTGTGCTAGCTCACCCTCCCTAGTCGTTGAACTTTATAAATGAGCGTTCATCTGTTAAGCTGGCAGAAAGTTTGTCCGCCGATAATTGATGTTAAAAGTCAACATAGAGGAATGTCAAACATCTGGCATATGTGCTGAGAGGCCTTGTAGGCCTTGGACATTATAGGCCTTGGACATTATAGGCCTTGTGATGTTTATATCAGTTCTCCTATTTTTCAGGTTAAGAAACTGAGGCACAGATGGGCTCCAGAATGTGGCTAAGTCATGGTGTCAGGAATTAACGAAAGTGGGAGCTTTATAGTCGGCAAAACTAAAGATCCAGATTGGAGCCCATAGCCAGAACTTGAAGGTAATTCAAACTCGCTAAGATCTCTGAAGTGGCTTTCTTTCATAATAGGGGATGGCCTCCCCTCAAGACCTTAAAAAATGAAACTATAAAATGATTTTTGAATTGATATGGCCAGGATTTGGACCTAGTGTTGGAGGAACCCCTTCACCCAAAAACCTTTAAGATACTGGCCCATTTTGGGTGTGGTCTCATGTATTATAAGTACAGACAAAAAGTGTGTGTGGCCCTTTTTCTGCAGGATTCGGTTCCAGTTCCCAGGACACACAGAGGACTGTGGATTGCTACCCTGATTGTGAGTTTATCCCCAAATAAATAAACTTTTGTTATACTCCATTCAGGACTATCGCGGAAGTATTTGGCCCAACTACAGCCTGCTCAGTGTTCTAGCATTTGCCTGGAATGCACAAGGCCCTGCGTTCCAGCCCTAGACTAGCAAATAAATAATAAATAAATAATTTGCATTAATTACTAAACTCAGTTCAGGAAACCCTTTCATCCATCTAACAATTCAGTATTGAATAAAACCATTGAGTCAAAACTGCAAGTTTCTTCACAGGCCCAAGAGAATAAGGTGTGCTCAGGATATGAGAGAGCAAGTGAACCAACTCCAGGCACTGGGCTTCCGAGATTTTCTACAAAAGTAGCTGAAAATCAGATTTGATGGGAAATCCCAGGAAGTCTACTACCACTTAGTCTGGGGAAGACTTATTGAAAAATACATTTGATTTTTATATAGGCCAATAAAACATTTTAAATGGCGTTTATTTGACATGCATTTGTATCTCCACTAACAAGAAGATTTAAGCAATGTATATGTTTGGAGAAAATAAAACAAAACATTATAAATGGTGGAAAAAAGACACAGAAGGAAGAATGCCTCCTCCTTTTGAGACAGGGTCTTGCTATGTAACTGAGGCTGTTCTCCAACCCAAGCTCCTCCCTCAGACTTCCATGAGCAGGATTACAGATGTGTGCCACCACGCCCATCTTCCAAACTGACTTTAAACATGAACTCACATAGTAATTAGACCTTTGTTTCTTTAAAGTAGCTTTTAGAGAGAATGCAGCGCTTAAGAATTTCATACTTTTAGTAAAATAATAAAAATAATTGGGGCTGGAGAGATAGCTTAACAGGAGAGCTTGCTGCTTTTCCAGAGGACCTGAATTTGATTTCCATGCCCCACTTCAGACAGCTCATAACCTTCTGCAACTGCAGCTTCTCGGGCACCACCTAACACATGATATATATTCTCTCTCTCTCTCTCTCTCTCTCTCTCTCTCTCTCTCTCACACACACACACACACACAAATAGCATAAACCTTTAAAATTTTTACAGTGCATGTGCATCCATGACTCAGGAGCCAGAGACCAAGACTGGGTGTCCTCCTCGATGGCTCTTTAGCTGGTGTTTTGAGGCAGGGTCTTTGAGTGAATCTGGAGCTTGTTAATTCAGCTGGATTTCCGCTCAGCAAGATCAGTCTGTGTCTACCTCCCGTACTGGGGGTCCAAACTCAAGTCCTCACGCGTGTGCAGGAAGCCATATCTCCAGCCCATATATTGATATTTCAAAGTGCCTATCACTCATGTTTTCCAGAGAAGTGAACTGAGGCTTGGAGGAAGATTTGAAAACCAAGTGCTTGGACTGGGGAGAGGGCTCAGCAGATAGACACCTGCCTCTGGGACTGGCGGTCTGAGGCTGGTACCTGGGACCCACATGTTTTGGGAGAAACCCATTCCAGAGAGTTGCAAGCGGACCTACTGGCCGTGCCATCGTATACACACGCCACAGTCATAGATGTACACAACAATCTAACAAAAATTTTCCTGTAAACTATGTATATATTTCTGTGTTTTTTTCTTCTACACACCTAATTCTTTCCCCTCATAATTTCCCTTGTTTCTCCTGTATACAGCTCTATATGTATATACCTTGACATACAAGGCCCTGTGTGGCCTGGCACAGACTTCTTTGATGAGCTATCTCCTCCAGGGGACTATTCCTGATTCCAAAGGAGGCTAGGCTTCTATAAACATTCTCTAGGAGTTTCAACTTCAGTAACTTTGCGTGTCAAATTCTGTCCTGTCCCTGAAACTTGGACAAACCACCTCCAAATATTGCCGCAAAACCTAGTGAGTCCCTGCTTGGCAGCCGTGCAAATGCTATAGTAACCAACTACAACCATTCTAGCACGATGGCATCGACCGTAATCACAGAATGACAGATTCCCGAAGGGAGAAAATATCAGCAGAAAGCAGGCCACTAAACCCCACTCATCCCTCCTCCAGCGAAGAGGGATTGAGCATTAAATTAGCTTCTTTATACAACTTTAAATTCCCCGTTATGAATTTTGTATATTCTGCTTATTCTTTATGCGTGAGTGTGCGTGCGCACTGCGCACGCGCGCACGTGTCGGCGGTTTTCTCCCTCCACTGTGGTTTCCAGGGAAGGAACTCAGGCAGTAAGCCTTGCATGGCAAGTACTTTATCTGCTCAGCTATTTGAGGGATACACGTTTCTGAGACAGGGTCTCATGCTAGACACTCCCCCCCATGTAGTAAAGAATGATGTAGAACTCCTGCTCCTCCTGCCTCTATCCCAAGTGCAGATTATAAATGTATGGCTGGCTTGTAGTAACCTTTTTCTTTTGATGCACTTTTACTCATATCTGGTTCAGACATGATCTCTCTAAAAAACTATTCAGATACTTTAACTCTGTCCTCTACCTTCTTCCAAGCTTGGGCGTTTTAAGAAATGGGTCTGTCTCTAGTTGCTACTACTGACAATATACACAGAATACATTCAAAGGCAAAACAAAACAAAACAAAAAACCTTCAAAACTGTACACACACACACACACACACACACACACACACAACCAGTGAAAATTAAGACTTTCCCCCAATTCCATCATAGAAAGGTGTTTCTTTTCATATTGCACATACTTGAGTGTTTCATACATAGAACGTGATTAAGCCATATAAGTACACACTACACAGCGCTTAGCATCATGGTCTGCTGTATGTGCACACGGACATCTACTTGAAGATTCATACAGATTTGCTTTGGTTTTTACATAGGTGTAGGAGCAGCCGAACAGCACAGTATTCCGGGACAGGGACGTACCAGGATTACTTCCGCCCGACTGAGTTGCCCCGCACCGTACGCCCTCTCCGCCTCCCGTCACGCGGAACACGACGGCGGCGGAACCCCAGCAGGCTCCGGTCTCCCCGAGACCTCCCGGCTGGGGGGCGGGGCTGCGGGTGGGCGGGGCTCCGTGGTTGGCGGGGCTCCGAGCGGCGGGCGCGGCCCCGGATCCTCCCCTCTCCTCCGGCGGCGCCGGCGGCGGCAGCACTTCCGGGTCGGCGCGGAGGCGGGGCGGAGGCGCCGCGGCTGTTATTGTTCCGAAGGGCTGGGCCGCTGCGATCTGCGCTCGGCGCTGTCAGTTCGTCCCTCTTGCCCCTCGGGTCCTTGCTGCTGGCTCTGACGGCGGCCGACGGCGGGCGGGGCCCGGGTTCGCGGCCGAGCGGCGCCGGTGAGGGCGCGGAGGAGGCGCACAGCGGGAGGAGGAGCCGTGAGCCTGGCACGGAGCGGCCGCGGCCATGGCGTACGCCTATCTCTTCAAGTACATCATCATCGGCGACACAGGTGAGGCCGCCGGCGGGCCGTGGCGGGCCGAGGCGGGCAGGCGGGGCAAACGGCGGCGGTGGCGCGGCGGGCGCGGGTCGGGCGGCGCGGAGCGGCACGGCGCGGCGCCTCCCTTCCTCCCTTCCTCCCTCGGTCCCCTGGCCGCCGCTCCATTTCCGCAGTGCTGGCGCTGATGACGTGGGCGCTGTGAGCGGCCGCGGCCTGGCCAGGGCCTTCCCAGCTCGGCCCTGCAGCCGGGCCCAGGACAGCCGTTTGCGGCTCCCGGAGAGGGTGACAGCAGGGCGGTCCTGTTCGGGACCCGGGCCTGGACTGTCTCCGCAGCCCGAGGAGGGAGAGGGAAGCCGAGCGAATCCGATCGTGATGGGCCCGGTCCGGATTTTTGTCCCCGGTCCCACCTCCCCGACCTGCACGCTTCCGCCTAGGCCTGCGCAAGGCGCACCCTGAAGTGGGACAGCCTGTTACGGAGAGATTATTTTAAAAAAGAATTAAAAAAAAAAAATCCTCAACTTCCAAGTACGAATAAGTCAGATCACATGACTTGATGGCAGGGCTGTTCCTTTCGGGGTCATTAAAGCATTGTAGAGCCCTGGCGACTTTTGCCACGTGTAAGCTGGGGTTATTGGATTTGATAGTAATGCAAGGCGGGTCAGTGCTCAGGGCGTGAGCATACCGTGACGTGCTGATTGAGGACGTATTTTTCCAGTTGTGTCAAGTCATAGTTGCTGATTTTCAGGTGACCTCGTGTGCATTTGAAGCAAAAAAAAATCAATTTTCAGTTAAAGATATCATCCTAATACATTTCTCAAACAGATTAACAAGCCTTTATGAAATACTTCGAATACCTGCGATTTGGGCCATACTTCGAATCTAATAATAAGCCTAAAGCTTGTTCAGGTATTAAAACTATTAATACACCAGAGTCTGATTTCAGTGGTGACAGTTGCACAACCCTGGACCCTTTGCACAACTTCGGCGATGTAGAAGCAACTTGAGGTGGCCCTGTAATGCAGTAGGTTCTAGAAGTAACTGGAAGTGTGTTGATTGCTGCCTAAAATAAAATCTTCCTGCTGTGAATACAGTTTTCCTGCAAGGTTCTTGTGTGTGTGTAAGTGTACAGAAACCTGATCGTTTTCTATGCAAGGTACTGGGTAAAGCCATATTTTGTAAACTGTTTGGAAAGGGAGGAATCTAAGACCACTGAGATATAAAAAAATAAAATTGGAGATATCGTAGCCAGGAATAGAAATGACTGATTACTTGGTTGTCTCAGCAGTAGTGAAAATTAGGTTTAGAATTTGCACGGTGTCTTTTTTTTTTGTTGCTGTTGTTTGTTTGTTTGTTTGTTTTACTACGGCTCTCCTGTGGATTAATAAAGCAATATGCAGGAAATAATGGGGCTACAGATGTGAGCGAGCTGGTGCTCTGTTCTCGTGATGTTTGTCCCCATGCCACAACAGTTCTGTGCTTGAAGGGAAGGCACTCTTCTCTCTGCATTCTGTTCTGACCTAGCTCAGGCACTTGATCCTTGACATGTAGAGCTGCACTTTGCCCACACTCCACTTCACCTAGTACAGCTTAGCATGAGCTTAATTTCCTGAAATACCTGTGTCAGGAGGCAAACCCCTGCTCATTCATTTCTTTGCCTTTTTAGCTTGATCCTCAGTGAACTCTAAAGTACCTGCCTGCTCTTCTGGCATTCTTTGCTACTGCATCTCCTTCTCTTGCCTGTGATGCCCAAAGGCTAGTTTTTGAAGATTGCCTTGGTCCCTCCTCCTCCCTCTGGCTTGACCTGTCTTCTGCCACAGTCTTTCCCTATGAAATTTTGTTAGTCTTTTATTAAAAGCTTTGCCCAGGTCTTCCAAATGCTTGCAGAGTCAGCATATCTTGACCTCATATATGTCAGCGTTCTCCAGTTAGTACTGACTACTTATTTTCTGGATTATATTTCTCAATTTGTATCATTTTTTTTTCCGATGTTAACTCCGGACTGATTTTTATAGGTATTTGTATAGGCATCTGCGTTTGCTTATGTACTTCTTGAGGGTAGAAAAGGTGTTCTCTGTGGCTCTGTACTTTAGGATGGATCGTATATGTGCATATATGCAGAAAATCCTAAACCCTATGGTTAACAGTTATTTTTAGAGAGGAGGGAATTCAGCTTGTATTAGGAAAGTTGGTATTGGTGAAATGAGGTTTTCTGCACTTTCTGGTTTTGTTGCTGTTTTTGAGACAGGATCTTGGCTGGCCTGGTACTGTGTGGCCTATTTTGGCCTCAAGCTTGTGGGGAGTCCCCCTGCTTCAGTCTCTTGAGTGCTGAAATTATAGGCATGTATCACCATGTCCAGCTATCCTCTAAATTTCAGTATTGTAATGTTTTATTTGTTTATACTATAAGTTTTAACATTGTACTATTAGGGCCCAGGTGTTCTCCGCCCTGTGTGTGTGCTCCCACCAAATTTCCAGATGCCTATCAGTTTTGTTGTAGTTGGTGATTTCATGGCACTGAGTGTTTGGGGAAAGTTTTCAGTTAGCAATAGTCAGTCCTTGAACAAACCTCATGGGTTGCTACTATACTGCCATGCACAAAGCTTGTGCCGTCTCTTGTCTCTGCTCATCCTCAGTCTTGGAGGCCCTGTCCTTTACTGCAGAAGACATGGAGCCTCCTCATTTCATCGCTGACTTCTAAATTTTCTGTTAAACCTTCCCATTTGATTTTATCACTTTGCTTATTTACAAGCTTTAAAAGAGACTACATTTTAGCTGTTGGTCTTTGTTTGTAAGTAAAAGATGTTTGCCAAAAAGATGTTGTGTTCCTTGTGTTGCCACAGCCAGATAGTCACTCCCTGTTAGCTCCTGCACCCGTTTCTTACTCAGACCCCTTACTTGGGTCTTCTCTTCTGAGGATGTTTTGCTGGTTCCATAATGGCTTTTTATTCTTAAAAGTTTTTGTTAGCAGCAGTAGTACTTTAATATACCAATCCTGGTCAGCAGCGGTCCTTTGTAATAGATTTTCTGAATTGGTTTTTCTTTTCTTGCTGATAGACTTTCTGGTTTGGGTTTTTTGTTTTGTTTTGTTTTTTGAGTGTTCCTTAAGGAATACCAAGACTAGGTTTATGTGGACTTATCTATCACATTAGTTTTCTAGCACTTTCTAGTTGGTGATGCCATAAAAAAATTCTTCACGCTATTTATAGTTTCTATGTAATATCAGTGTCGTGTGGTTTACCCTTAGCCCTTGGTTTGGGAAATTTTTTTTATTTTATTTTATTGCTTATTTATTTATTGAGGTAGGATCTCACTACATAGCCCAAGCTGGCCTCAAATAATTCTTCTACTCAGTGCTGGGATTACAGGCTCATCTAGTCCTTAGTCCTTGTTTTGATTTTTTCTTGGGTGGGGATTTGTTTTGGGTTTGTTGTTGTTTGTTTTATAGATAGATTTCACATAGCCCAGGCAGGTCTCTGTTTCTTGGTGTGGGGAAGGATGATGTTGAAATGATCCTTGTGAACCACTTGGCACCACCTGGAGGTTTTGTGTATAGTTATGGTCTCCATTTTGTTTCATAAATTGGCCTCAACTTCAGATCCTCTTATCTCTGAATGCTGGTTTGTTCCATTGAGTCTGTTATCTTTTAATCCTTCAACAAATTTGCTAGGTTTCTGTTTTACATATAAAGAAAAGCAAACTATGTTGCTTAGAAGGAATTATGTTTAGTACATGGTAGAACTCGGACTGTCTATTATATTGTGATATCTAGTGACCTGGCTTTGTTTCATTTGGCATCCCTTTTCTACCTCAGTTTTCCCTTTGGTTCTTCTTTGAGAAATGAAAGATAACTATATGGTCTGTCTGACTTGGGACTTGGTCTATAACCAGGCTAACCTCAAATTCACAGAGATCACCTGCATCTGCTTCCCAGGTGCTAGGATTAAAGGGTGTACCACCATGCAAGATTACTCAGTTTTGCTTTTTATAGCTTTGATAAAGCTTAGGTTTCACCGGTGGTAGCACACACCTTTAAACCCAGCACTCAGGAGGCAGAGGCAGGTGAATCTCTATGAATTTGATGCCAGCCCTGGTCTGCAGAGAGAGTTCCAGGACAGGCTCCGAAGCTACAGAGAAACCCTGTCTTGAAAAACAAAGCAAAAAACTTAGGTTTCTCCCAGTTATCTTAAATATTCTCATCTTCAGGTGACTGTCTGGACCAAGTTGGAAGAGAGAGAGGAAGTGAATATTGATGGCTGTCTTATTGCAGCCAACTTCTTGAAGGCAGGAGCAGGATGGTGCCTGGCACAGTCAGTACTGTCGTGAATGATGAATGTGATGTGTAGGTTTTGCTGGGCAGGCAGCATGGCATTTACCAAATCATTTTTCATTTGCAGAAATAGTAAAGGGCACAGAAATTGAGTTTTATATAAATGAAGGATATAGGATATATTAATTTTCTGTTGTTACTGTAATAAGCTACAAGAAATTAGCAGCTCAAAGAAGACAAATTTATCTTAGCATTCTACAGTTAAGATGTATGACGTGTCTGTGTTGGCAAAAGTCAAACCTTTGGCAAGGCTTGGTTTTGTTCTGGAGAGTCC